ACTGAGTTGCCGCCATGTGATTGGCTGCTTAGAAATTAAGTGTTAACGAGCAGTTGGACAGGTGTACCTAATAAAGTGGCCGGTGAGTGTAGACAACGTGAGTAATATATTTAAACTCTATTTGATCAGTTCAGATGCTTACATGGCTGTGTTCTCAGTCGGACATCTTGCTTTAGAAGCGGGACGTTTGGATTCATTAAAAGCCATTATCCAGGCTTTGTATTTTTTACCTGCAATATAACTGCATACCTTTTTTGGTTGACTTGTTACACGTATTGAAAATCTTCAAAACTTTGAAAAGGGAACAACATGTACAGTATATAAAAGGTACCACTTAAATTAAAAGAAATTCCATTACTACATATCACTTCATGAAGTTACATCTGTCTACTAAATCCCTCTAAAATCAGATTTTAATTTGTTGTCCCCCTATAGGTTTTCACCGGCATCTTTGCTGGGGAGATGTTTGCCAAGCTCATAGCCATGGACCCCTACTACTACTTCCAAGAAGGATGGAACTGCTTTGACGGCTTCATTGTGACCCTGAGTTTAGTTGAATTGGGACTGGCTGACGTGGAAGGGCTCTCAGTTCTCAGGTCCTTCCGATTGGTGAGGGGAAAACAATCTTTTGTTAAATTTTTTAGACTACCCAAATATGAGATGAACATGTCATTATTTTGTTAAATTTCTTAAGAATACAACTCAATATTCTTGTTTCACACTTGCAGTTAAGAGTGTTCAAACTGGCCAAGTCGTGGCCCACACTCAACATGCTGATCAAGATCATTGGTAACTCGGTGGGAGCTCTCGGTAATTTGACCTTGGTGTTGGCCATTATCGTCTTCATCTTTGCCGTGGTGGGCATGCAGCTGTTTGGAAAGAGCTACAAGGACTGCGTGTGCAAGATTGCAGAAGACTGTGTGCTCCCACGCTGGCACATGAACGACTTCTTTCACTCTTTCTTGATCGTGTTCAGAGTACTGTGTGGGGAGTGGATTGAAACAATGTGGGACTGTATGGAGGTGGCAGGACAGCGCATGTGCTTAATCGTCTTCATGATGGTCATGGTTATTGGCAATCTAGTGGTAAGAAAAAAAGTATATATTGCAAGACATGATCACAGTAGCTCAATGGCATTTAGTTCTAGGGTTCCAGAGTTTGTGTTGTGTTTTCTGGTAAGGTGCTGAACCTGTTTCTGGCCTTGCTGCTGAGCTCGTTCAGTGCTGACAACCTTGCTGCCACTGACGACGACGGAGAGCCCAACAACCTCCAACTTGCTGTGGCCCGCATCAAAATTGGAGTCGCCTGGTTCAAGGCCAACATGAGGATCTTTGTTGCCACAGTGCTAAAAAAGGTACATAACAACTAGGCATGTGTTGTACTGGTTTTAAAATATGTCAAAGATGCTGCAGATATCAATCTTTCTCACTGTTCCTATGGTTTTAAGCTTATATCTGTGGAAAAAGTGAAAAAGAAAAATTTTCCAACAACATTGATTCAACGTTGATCAAAGAAAATGAATCAATCGGAGTAATAGTGCCAGAGTGTTTCTTTAGAGTCCCTTCTAGAATCATGTTGGAATAAGGACAATCTGCAAAACAAAGTACCTCTGTTATTCTAATCATGGGTAATGATGTCATTTAGCACCACTGACTATCTTTAGGGCAGCCAGTAGTTGCTCCTCAAAGCAAAATAGGTATTCCTGGTCTCTTTAGCAAATAACAACTGCACTCTTACTACCAGAGCAGATAGCCTTATCCATTTTACTCCTTTTTAGTTTGATATTAAAGATATAAGATGACAAAGTATAATACAAGGACTGTGCCTTCTTTACATAAATCTGTCTCTCATGGCCCCATACCTGAACACAATGCCAGAAGTATAGTGTATCTTTGTGGTCTTTACAATTTTGATTTCATTGTCTGTGTCCAGGTTTTCCAAAAGTGTTTTCTGTTTTTCTGTTTTCCCCTTTATGCCAAACAGCCCATAGAGGATGAGCAGAAGCCTTTGGATGGAATTTATGAGGAAAAGCTCAACTGCATCGCAAACCACACTGTTGAAATCAACCGTGACCTGGACTATCCCAAAAATGGCAACGGCACTACCAGTGGCATAGGGAGCAGTGTGGGGAAATACATGATCGATGACGACTACATGTCTTTCATCCACAACCCCAACCTCACCGTGTGTGTGCCTATTGCTGTTGGAGAGTCTGACTTTGAAAATCTCAACACGGAGGACTTCAGCAGCGAATCAGATGTGGAGAACAGCAAAGATGTAAGTTGTAGTTGCTTGTTAAAGAGAAAATACTGGGCGGTCATACTTAATAGAACAGAAGCTGTTTTAAGTGTCTCAGGCTGTTTAAGCTTTGTTGTCACTATTGTAGTTTTAAGCACATATTTGAAATACAAAAATCATATCATTAATAAAAGTAGGTAAATTCAAATTTTCTGAGCTAAGAGACCACCATATTTATTTTACCCATATCCAATTTCTATTTTAACACTGTTATATTAAGCTATAACAAGAGGATTCTTAAGATTGTAAGATTGCTGCGTTCTCACAAGCCCATATCAAATACTTTTCAGAAATTATGGATGTCGTCAACTCCAGGCCAAAACATTATGTTATGGGGGTCTTTTAGTGCCCATGGCATGGGTAAATTACATATTTGTGAAGGCACGATTAATGCTAAAAGGTACAAGCAGGTTTTGAACCAACATATTCTGCATTGTAAGCAACATATTTTTCATGGACTGAGGGTGGAAACTAGACTAGCCTGCCTATAGTACCAACCTGTCTCCTATCAAGAACATGCAGAGCACATATTTTAATAAAGAATAAAGTTAGAATTAGAAAAAATATTATCTACAAATCTTGAAAGGGAAAGGTGATAAAGCACATTGGTAGACATACCCTGTTAAAGCTGTTTTTGAAATGTGTTGCAAACATCAAAATTGCAATTAGTCATTATTTTGCAAAATAACAAAGTTGACCAATTTGACTGTTACATAGTGTGACTTTGCAGTGTTGCATATAATGTAGTTTAAATCTGATTTGCAAATCCTTTTATTGTGTTTTTATTTATGTTTTACACAATATCCCAACTTTTTTGGAATTCAGATTGCATTGAAAATAAACATCCATACTCATATTTATGACATTTTAATCTGGATTTTGTATTTTATTTTAGTGATTAGATTGTATCTTTAAGTTGTTACTTTTAATCTGAGATCTTCAAAAGAGCTCTATCATTTTACAGTAATATTTTACTTAAAAACCACTAAAAGCTCAAAAGGACACCTACAGGGCAGCCCATTTAGCCTTCCTGTTGTCTGTTGGAAGCCTTGCCCGACAGACATATACTGACTTATAAAAAACTTGGCTATTAAGTAGCATGTCATATCCCTTCGTGTCCTCTATCCATATTTTGAACATCTCGTTGTTACTAAAAATAGCTTACATTAAGTCTTCTTTCATCTGCAAATAACACCAGAAAGTGTTGCTTTCAGTGTGATTTGGTAGCTCTCAGGTGTAGGGTATTTTAACATTGGAAAAATATATATGATTTTTGAGTTTCCAACTAGCATCTTATTGGCCGTTCATCGGCTTCAGGCACCATCTGATTACTCAGAGCATTTCATAGAAACTGTTATACTTATTATTTCATGCAGGTTTTGTAGACTTCAACATAATAGCACAACATTTGAGTGAATGACAGAACATCTATTTGAACAAGCATGCTGCTACACTGAACATAAGTGCAAAGAATTAACTTTAATAAGCCCTACAGACGGACAGGCTGTGAGCTCAATGAGGGGATATAAATACATTACCATCTACATATTATAAATGTGCAAGTATCATAATCAAGAGCAAACTTTATAGACATTTAGATCTAGGTCACCTTCATCTGGCTCAGAGTTGGACAAATTATGATAATACAACTATATATATATATATATATATATATATATATATATATATATATATATATATATATATATATATATATATATCTTTATATATAGAAACAGAACACCCTGATAGAGTCAAGTAATACGTGCTGAAAGCTAATTATTTAAGGTTTCCGTGCTATTGTTTTTTAGTTAAAAAGTTTTGTCAATTATTTAATAGCAAATCAAATATTCAAGACTCACAAATCTAATTTTTAAACATGTAGCATTGAAAGATTAGCAATACTATCATATGTGTTTTTTATATTGATAAATGCCATATGAATGTCTCTGCAAGTTAGGCAATTTTAAGAATAGATTCTGTATTACAGCAACTTGTATGCATATTGGATCAAATCAGGGAATCCATAACTACTAAGGAGTGCATAAAATCCCTGGTTGCTTACTTTGTAAATAATAAGGCTTCTCTGTCTCTAAATAAATGAATTCCTTAAGACTAAACTGAGCTGTTTCCTCACAGCTGGATGACACCAGTTCATCTGAGGGCAGCACTATAGACATCAAGCCGGATGTAGAGGAGGTGGTTGTTGTCGAAGTGGTGGAGGAGTATCTTGACCCAGACGCCTGCTGGACTGATGGTAAACAACGCTCACTATAAACAAGACTTTATGCTTCAGATCTGTGAAAAAAAAACTCTTTTAAAAAGTATTTTTATTTTGGTTTGGTAGCATTATCATATAAATAGCGTAAATACTATTTATATGGCAAGTAGCGATTTAATGTCCATTTCAACACACTTCCTACCATTAGGAAGGTAAACTTGGAGTTGGCTAAACTCCATTGGAAAGAGGCAACTTGGTCACATGAAACTATGTGCTTCACCAACAAAACATTCCAGTTTTGTTTGGAGTGTAATAAACGATATACCGGTATATATGTGGAAAGGTACCACAGTGGAGAAGACTTCATACTTTGGATCTGTTTTGCTTTCAAATGCCCTACAATAATAGAAATTTTTAAATTCTTGTTACGATTAATTATATAAAAATCATAGGGATTGTTTTTAAAGCCATGTATAGTTATTCATATGTGCTACATTTTTCAAATCTGTTAGCCTCAGCCATCAAAGTCATTAGGTAGGGAAAACACAACTATGGAAGAAGTAATTGGTTTGAAGCTGAGTCACTGCGAAGGCTAAATCATTTTTTCATACTTTGCTGTTAAACAGAATATATGTAATATTGAAAAAGCTAAAAGAAACATATGCTGCTTTGATAATAGATTATTTTTTAAAGACTCTACAGATCTTGTAATATAGATGTCAGGTAATATTAAGAGGCATTTATTAATGGTTAATATAAGTTACGCTTTGTAGTATTTTGTCATTAAAAAACCCCTGAACCCCCAGAACGTGTTTAGAATGTGTCAGCAGTTGTGTTATATTCGTCATACAGAGTGTGTAGCGAAATACAAGTGGTGTGACGTTCCCATCACTCACGGATGGGGAAAACACTGGTGGTTCCTGAGGAAGACCTGCTACCTGATAGTGGAACACAACTGGTTTGAGACCCTCATCATCTTCATGATCCTCCTCAGCAGTGGAGCTTTGGTAAAAGCACAAACCCACACACCATCGAAAGTCATTCTCATCTTCTAATAGTATTCCAACATGTCATTTATGATTAAGTTATTTAAAACATGATTGGTTGTTGGTTTTGTAAGAAAATAAACATGCAATATGCTGCAAAAGTACCAATGCAAGAGAGCATCTGCAAGCCTTGCTTTTTTCTGACTGCAACTCTTCCTGATATAATAGTCCTTAATGGAAGGCAAATTGTTGTTATACATCAGCCTTTTACCCAAAATGATTCAGCCTTGCTTTGCAGCTTTTGAAAGAAAAAAGGCTCTGGACTTATGCGCTGAAGAATGCATACATGCCATAGATGGAGTTGGCAGTCATCCTCTTTTAATAATCCCTGTGTTTTTACATAATGTTGGACAAAACTTCTGTTTATGATAGAAAGGCAGATTTGTCTAAACAAATAAACGTCTATCAAACACAGGTACACTTAACTTCCTTATCTGATTACTGCAGGCCATGGAACTATACCTACTAAGTATTTACATATTATAATAATATAATAATAATTATAATTTTCCTCATAATAGTCATAGTAGTTTAGTATAAATTTCCTCCTGAACTTCCCTAAATACATGCTTAAATGTCATTATATTTCATTTCTTTCTTCATTCCTTCTTCGTCCCTATGTCATTGTTGGATTTGATTTTCCATCACTGTAAACAACAGAATAAAGAAAAAAAAACACCTCATAATACCCCAAACTTGTTATCTCATTTTATCCACTGGCCAATTTGCTATTCTGCTATATTTCAGGCCTTTGAAGACGTGTACATTGAACAGAGGAAGACAGTGCGTATCATTTTAGATTATGCCGATCGAGTTTTCACCTACATCTTCATCCTGGAGATGTTGCTGAAATGGGTGGCCTACGGCTTTGTCAAGTACTTCACTAATGCCTGGTGCTGGCTGGACTTCTTCATTGTGGATGTAAGTACAGTTTCATTTTATCTGCATATGTTCAGCTCAATACTTTAGACTTTGTAACATCATAAGTTATGGTCTAAGCATCATATATAAATATGTATATATATATATATATATATATATATATATATATATATATATATACCGGTATATAAACTTTGTCTTTAATCGCCTATTGGTGGGTCTATATTTCAGGGTATTTAAATCCCTCCAGGTTTTTTCCTAATGTTTTCCTCTAATAGGATGTTTAGCCCACTTTATTTAAAAAAAAATTTATTTTATTTTATTAGCTGAGCCCAGTTTATTGTTTTTAAACATCTTTAGTATTTTCTCCAGATTTCCAGCCTACTTCTTAATTACTCAGCCTGTGAATATACGGATTAATTAATAAATAGACCTTATGGTTAGTAAATTTTGGTCTGAGCAGGTAGCAGCGCTTCTCTTGCATGTTTTTTTTTTTTGGTTTGGTTTGGTCTTTCTTTGAACTGACTTGTATTGCAATTTAACTTAGCATAAAACCAGACAATCCCAAACCTCTTCCAGTCTAAGAACCAGTGTTTTTATGGTTAACTATTTACAGCCTCAATAATTTTAGTAATAACAATACAATATTTCTCACATGCATTGTTGCTTTGGCATTTTTCATTTCTGACTTGGAAAGATTTCCTTTAACTGTTTTGTAGTAATACTGCATCTTGAGGGATGTTGGCCATAATGCTAGTTTAGATTTGATTCTATAATTATTTATTTATTGCTCAACATAAGCATGCTATTCAGGATGAAAAAAAAAAGTTCTATCATTTTTGTTATTATTTTTTTCCTTTTTTCCTTTGCATAATTGATCATCTCTAACCTCTCTGACAGGCTTTCTCCCCTTATTTTTAATGTTGTTTTACTTTTAAATGTATAAGTTGTATGTGTACTTTTCTAACATTTTTTTACATAACCAAATCAGCCAATGTCTGAAGTTATTACCTGTATCCTATAGAAAAAATAACTAAAGATCTTAAATGAGAGTTTGATTGTTTCCATTCAGGATGCAGAAACGATAATAATCAATAATATTTAGACTGTCTGATAAACTATTGGCAACAGCATCACTGATTCAGTAATCTTCTATTATGTTATGTTTCCAAATGTCTGCTGTCTTTCCTTTTCTTATTATGATGATATAACTCACTAGCATAATATTTGTATTTTAGAAAATGTAGACTTAGTGTTTGTATGTTCTGGTTTAAGATGAGTTCAGAGTCTAACTGGAGAAATTAGTTAAACCAAAACATTTTGGGTTTTTTTTTTTGGAGCCAACTGGTTTGTAATGGTGTCAACCAAAAAAACAGGTTTAAATAGTATAACTTAGCAGACTGCTTAGTAAGATATGAATTTCTAACCTGGCAAAGCCAGACTGATGTGTAGTACTCCGGTTTAGTTCTACACATTATCAACCTGGGAACCCTCCCGTTGTTTCTGATGTTCAGAAGAACATTTTGAGCTGATCAAACGAAGCAACACCTAGTGCCCACCTACCAAAGTTTGGTCTTAGCCAGTCACAGTAACAAATGGAAAAGCAGCAAATGCCGTGAAAAAACCACAACAAGTTACACTTTGGCTCATTCGCTGTCATATTTGTTTTGGTTTGGCTTGTTGGCTTGTCAGCACTCACTTTTGACACAGCTATATCCATCCTTAGACCATATAATACTGCAACGTGATTGGTTGATCTGTTTTGTGAGGCAAGGTTACTGATTTTAGCTTTCCAATGAAACTTGGAGGTAGCTAAAAAGCTGAGCTTATGAGAAATAATACTCATTGCATTTATTATTACAGAGTAACAATTAAATAACCTTGTGTCTTATTTTTTGCAGAATGTTTTTGTCTTTTTAGTTTTTGTTTATCAAATTATTAGGTTATTATGTTTTTATACATGTAGATGTATGCTGCTGTTGGTGGGCACTTTTTAAGTGAGAAACAAAACAAAAAGAGAAAAGGAAGACAAAGAGAGAAATAGAAATAGACTTTTTCATATCAAGAAACTTTTAACCACTTTTAAATAACTAAGGGCAGTCTGTGGAGATATTTTTTGTTCTTGTTGTTTTATATTGTTTTTTTCTTTACTTTTTTACTCTCTAAAAAAGCTATTTTTTCCCACTGTTTCTTACTGGCAAATTACCTATTATAGAAAAGGCAAAAATGAGTCCTTGAGGAACTTTAAATGTAATCTTTGTTGGTTAGAATGTATTAAGAAATATTGATATCTTACCAGAATAAAAAAGTGCACCCTCTTTAAGTTAATCTTTTCAATTCTTTACAAGATTTTTCAACAACATATCTAATCATGCCATCACTATAAGCAGGTAAATCCAATTTGAAATGTCCATCAAAAAGTAAAGCCTAAAAAATCCTGCATTAGCTCACAATATCTAAATACCAAAGATTTAAAGAAGGTGTGCTCATTTTACAATGACTTTGATAGAAACAGATGATCTAACCTTGAAGTCTGCTGGATTTTAACCTGCAAGCCAGCATTTGTTTTTAACTGCATTTTATATTTTGCAGTTCAGTGGATTTTGCTCTGTTCGTACCTTTTCTAATGTATTAATGTCAGTTTGGTGTCACTGCAAAACACTGAGTTCTAAGTAAGTCAATGTTTCTTAAAATATGTGCATTTCTTCTTCAATTAAGCATGTAAATGAGACACTCTGCCACCAGACAAATAAGAATAAGAAAAAATCAATTGCATTGTTCTTTTTTAAATGCATATCTAATTATTAGATTTTTTTGAGTAAAAGTACTCATTCCTTTGGCAGACCTGTTCAATATAAGGGTAAATATACTAATTTTGAGAGATTTTTAGATGTTTTTAAATATTTTTTGCCATGTCACTGTCATTTTCATGCACAAGTAAATACAGCTCAAGAAGAAATGACCCCACTACAAAATATCTTTTGTGTCCGTGGAAACAAGATTTCCATCCTCATTTTCCCATTGTTTGTGTATTTGAATATCATTATGGTTAAATCCAAAGGTATACTCTCAACTCCGGTGGGTGAACTTTTAATGTCTGCAAAAACTGCAGCAACCTAAAACATTCAGAAAGACTACTTATGATGAGTACCTGTCAATGTGCTGATTAGGGTGATATTTGATGCTAAATACATCTTTAAATACACATACTACTCAAAAGCCATGTCTTCCATTTTGAAAACGTAAGTTGTTTATCAATATTTTATATGTAATTTCTTCATTTTCTTTGCTTTTTTTTTTCATTTTTCCCTAAAATCAAGATTTTTATTTGCAATATTTTTAGTTAATTGTAAAATGATTATTTTTTCTTAGTTCAAAAATATATTCTGCTAACACTTGAAAAGATATTTAAACTTAAAAAGATTATTGCAGTCCACTCATCTTATTCTTGGATAGCCCTAAAGCCATAATCTTTTCACCAGGTTCTCAATTTCAGAAAATAGAAAAAAATTATCAAATGCTTTTAATCTAAGTATTTTGGAGAAAAAAAAAAGTATTTTACTTGTGAACGCATTAATTTGAATGTGTAATGAACAACACTGTGTATACCTGTACACAGAGTTTATCTGGTTTCCCTCCAGATCCATTTAGGCTAACTTGTGACCAGCTTTTATTGATATAACTCTAAAACGTGCATTGTTTTGCCAAATAGATCTGCTTTTTCTTAAAAAACGAAATCTAAAATTTTGTTTGACAAAAACAAAGCACAGAAATCAGTGTAAAAGGGAGGAAAAGACCTCGTATGAGAACAGTCTTTGTGATAACCATACACTATGAAGGAAGACTGTAAATAAGCTAAAGTTATTTAGTGTGAAAATTCACATCCTGTAAAGATAGCTTAACCATTTTCCCTAATACTGACCTGTCCTCTCTCTCACAGCAGGTTCCTATAACTGTCTCTCTTTAAGTTAAGAGAGACATTGTGCACCTCAGGAGGGGGACAGAGAGGTCGGTGTTTGGGGTCCAGGGTAAGGTTTGTGTGCTGTGATGGGGTTCCTACTTTCACAGGTTACCCTCTCTCTTCTAACCCTGAAAGTTGTCCTCAACCGCCTGCAATCTTCTCTCTCTTTCTCTTTCTCCCTTCTTTGAGTGAAATGCCCGCTGGTGTTGGTACCGTTTTGTACTGTGTACTGTGTTAAACTATCGTGTCACATTAATTTGAGTGTTTCGTGAACACATCTCTCCTCCGACTTTGTCCCTTTGTTGGACTCTCTTCTCTTCCTCTCACTGTGTCAACCACAAGTTTCTTTCCAGGTGTGCTCACTGCGCTGTTAAGCTGGTTATCATGCTAGACTGGCTTGCCAAAACTAAACCAAACACAAACAGAAGGGTTTAAATAAGGGAAAACTCTGGGTACTCATTATTGACCTTTTTTTTTTACTGTTTGAACCTTTATGTTGTATAAGTATTCTTACACATAAAGGACTTATATTTGTACTCTGTATATAATAATTCAGCTACCCTTACACTTGGTTTAGGGCCACCTTTCTCTCTATATCCCTTCTAACTATGTGGCGACTTTCTTCTTCTTCTGCCTCTGTCTTTCCTTCTCCTTCTGTCCCTGTCTGTGTAGGTGTCTATAGTCAGCCTTGTAGCTAATGCTTTGGGCTACTCCGATCTAGGCCCGATTAAATCACTCAGGACACTGAGGGCCTTGAGACCCCTCAGGGCCCTGTCACGTTTTGAAGGGATGAGGGTAAGACCTAAGACTCCAGGCAGCTGCTCCTTTTGCATGCCAGTTCAACAAAAAAAGCATCAACGCATGCTAGAAATGGCAAAAAAAAAAAAAAAAACATAAAAAAAATCTCTGATGGGAATTTTTTGCAATAAACCTATTAATAACCGAGAAGCTTTTTGCATGGACTGAGATCATCTCAGATGGTTTAACACATCTGATTTGATTTATCATGTTTCATTTCATATGATAAATGTAGAATTCTGGTAAAGCTCCTGTTGATTGAGTATTTCAATGACCTGATCTAAAAATATCTTCCTCCTGACTTTTTGCCTGAGTGATGCAGCAAAATAAAAAGTCAGCTGTTATTGGTGCTAGCAGAGAAACAACCAGAGGCTGGCGTGAACTGTCACATCAAACCCTTAAACCTGGAATTCAATACAGAATTGAAATATTAGATACTACCTGCTGTAGACACCCTTAGAGTGGTGGTGATGTTCCAAAATTACTTAAATGAACAAACGAATTCATAGTATCTGAAATGTTCAGCTTTTCTTACCCGACAGCAGCAAACTGAAATGTGTTTCATCATGGTTATGTTTGAGCAACTAACAAAAAATAATATACATTTCTTAACTGAAAAGAAAAATTTATCATCAATGAATCATTAATAGTCTACATTTTCATTATATTTATACTCAAATCTATACTGAAGCCTCTAAATACCTAGACTTCAAAAGTCACATGATTAGTAAATGGGCCTATTTGCCTTATTTAAATTTCAGTGTAAACTAAGCTGCTATGTGAAGGCTTCAGGGAATGTCAGGGATCATCAGTGAGCAAAAAAACTAAAGAAGATTATAGAGGTCCCGGGAAAAAAAGCAGAAAGGTGAGGGGTAGTGTTGCATCATTACCAAAGCACGATCATTCATGAAAACATCCAGAAAGGCAAGAGAAGCAGCAAGACTACGCATGGTAGCTTTAGAGGAGCTACACAGATCTGCTAAAGCAAGAAGACAGTTTCTAGAAATTCTACTGGGGTTTGCCACAAGCCCTGCCAGAGAAAATCGGAAATCCAGAACTGAGAAACTTTCCCAAGAAATTCTGTTCTCCATCCATTTAAATTCAAATTGATCTACTTCACAACACAGTATTACTTTCTGTTGTTTCATCACATAAAATCCCAATAAAACACATCATAGTTTGTTGTGCTCAGGTATGAGGATTATGAATTCTTTCAATGGGACTATATTAAAACCTAAGCCAAGTGTGTGTTTTTTAATGGCCTTTTCATATATTAGTAGGTCTTATCAGGAGATCAATAATCTTTTTCTGCTATAAAAAAAATCATGTTCATGCTTGAACAGCGCTTGGCTTGTCTGATGGCTCCGATCAGCCTCTGGTTGTTGTTTGGCAGAAACTAAAACTCCTCTCCGTGCGTGGGCTCAGCATTTTCTGACTTTTGCTCTGCCTGAGGTGTCCTGTTACCTGATCTTTTCACAGTTTGGCTTTGGCATTGTCACACTGGAAGATCAACAAACTTCTGGTTGCATATCCCCCTCCCCTCCTTTCCCTTCCCCTGCCATCTTTGCTTATCACTCTTCAGGGTTTTCTCATCACTATGGTTTTAATTCATCACACTTATGCAGTTATATTAATATTGATGCATTGAATCTACATAAGCTATTGGCCTAAACACAAAAAATACATGTTTGCTTGTTGATAGTTTTGATTTTTTTTTTTTGTTGTTTTTTTCCATGGCACCTCTGTATGCAGAAATGCACATTCACATATTCTCCATCTGTTAAGGCTTCAAATCCTGCCTGTCACATATATGAGAGATTTGTTTTTATTTGTCAAAAATTCTTAAAACTGACACAAGACTTTTTATACAAAAACCTGATTGATACTTGGTGTATTGGCTTGAATATCAGCATAGAATATTTTACATTTCTTTGGAGGAGTGTAACATAACATCACGGTGTAACTTTTTGATCTATTGTAATTTCAATGGAACAAATCTAACTGGCTTTAAAAAAATTAAGCCTCCTATGACAAGATATTTAGAGACGTTAGACTTAAAATGTAACTTCTGATAAAAAAATATCTATAACATGAAGTACCATCTTAAGAAGTGAAAACTACTGTTGTTGATCCTAACAAAATGTTCTGTTTATAATATTTTGATCAATATTTTTATGTAGATTCAGAAAAAAATATTTGAAAGAGTAATAATATTTCTATTGATATTTTTTCTGTTTTTTATTTCTATTCTTCATGATAATATTTAGTTATAAGTCATTCTTATTTTTTGTTTCCTGACCCAAGAGATGTTTGAAAAAGCTTTTATCCGTCCAATTTTATTGCTGCATCAAACGTCAAGTCACAATAGGGCTTTTTATTCTCATTGACCTTGTGCATTGCATTGTGTGCCCTGCTAAGTATTGTTACACTCCCCAACAGTACATCATGAAAGATTTACCAAAAAAACAACTACAACAAGTGAGCCTCTTATATGAAAAGAAAGTGCATTTCTCTGTGTCTCAATGTTTATTTACATCTGCAGTGACTGTCATTCTACAGTTTAGTTTACTTATGACTCTCTGCAGGTTGTGGTGAACGCCTTGGTAGGAGCCATTCCCTCCATCATGAATGTGTTGCTGGTGTGTCTGATCTTCTGGCTCATATTCAGCATCATGGGAGTAAACCTTTTTGCTGGGAAGTACTATTACTGTTTCAATGAGACAGCTGAAGAGTACTTTGATCCAGAGGATGTCTACAATAAAACTGAGTGTTTTGCGCTGATTAACGCAAATTACACAGAAGTGAGGTGGAAAAATGTGAAGATCAATTTTGACAATGTTGGTGCAGGATACCTTGCACTCTTGCAAGTGGTAAGAAACCTTCTTGATGACTCTTGGTCTATCATAGTTTTTATATAAATGAACTTTTCACTGTCTGCTTTACAGGCTACTTTTAAAGGTTGGATGGACATTATGTATGCTGCGATAGATTCTAGAAGGGTGAGCCTCTGCAGCTTTACTTCTTTTTCTACTCCATTTTCTTGTTTACGATAGATTATAATGTACTTTTTTCCAACCTGATAGGTGGAAGACCAGCCTAAATATGAGGACAACCTCTACATGTACATCTACTTTGTAATATTTATCATCTTTGGTTCCTTCTTTACCCTGAATCTCTTCATCGGTGTCATCATTGATAATTTCAACCAGCAGAAGAAAAAGATAAGACATTTTCTTTGCCTTTGCAAAAAAACATTCAAAGTTTACAAATGACCACCCTGAGTCCGATTTGAGGACAAAACCTTTATAATTCAAAAATGCTATAGTAGCATAATCACAAACTAATAACTAATAATATTTCACCTTTTAGTTTATTAGAGAATTTATAAACTGGTAATCTAGAACACAAGGGTTTTAATACAATGTTAAACTACAGTTTCCTAGCATATTGACAAATCTCACCAATTTAGTTCCATTAAAGCATTTTATAATTATTTTCCCATACTTTTTTAAAGTGGCTCACTCACTGATGCCAGTGATGGTTGATGTAGGAATTGCCTGCAGAGCTGCATTCACATCTTCTAGTAGACTTTCCGATGGTACTTCACTTAGTCTCTGTAACTGGCTTCAGGGTTGCTTGGTGGATATTTTTGCCATGGTCTTACTTTTCAGGTCAGTCACTGCCTTGTTCAGCGTTGTTCAGCGTGTTAACTCCCCTCTGACCTGGGGTAGAACAGTGGTTTTATACATCGTCAATCTCAAGCAGTTGTCGTTTATGCATATATAAATATATATATATATATATATATATATATAT